AGACACAAAGAGGAAGAGAGAGACAGAAAGGGAGAGAAAGAGAGAAACAGACAGAATGGGAGAGAGACAGACAGAAGAGAGAGAGAAAGAGGGGGAAAGAAAAAGAGAGGGGGAGAGGCAGAGAGAAGAGAGAAAGAGGGGGGGAGAGAGAAAGAGGGAGACACAGCGAGAGAAAGAGAGAGGGAGAGAGGAGAGAAAGAGAGGAGAGGGGCAAGAAACAATGACAGCGACAGAAAGACAAAGAGACAGAAAGAGAAAGACACAAAAGGGAAGAGACAGAAAGGGAGAGAAAGAGGGGGCGGAGAGAGAGAGAAAGAGAGAGTGAGTGGGAGAGAGAGAAAAGTCAAAATGATGCCCTCACACCTGCATGACTAAAGCCCTTCTCTTTTTACGTGTGTGGACCTCAAGTCCTTGACTTATAACCATTCATTTAGAGACCATTCAGTTACAACAGCACTGGAAAAAAAAATTGAGTTATGACCGATTTCACACTTAATCACCGTTGCAGCATCCCCACAGTCACGTGATCCAAATTGGGGCCCTTGGCAAACCGACTCATAGGTATGATGGTCGCAGCATCCCAGGAGCCACGTGGTCCCCTTTTTTGCGACCGTCTGACGTGCCAGGTCGATGGGCAAGCCCCCCAAATTTCTGTTCTTCAGCAAGATGGCTGTGAAGCGATGAGCCTTCACCCCATTTTACAACCCTTCCTGCCACCGTTGTTAAGCGAAACACAGCAGCTGTTAAGAACACGGTTGTTAACGTGAATCTGGCTTTCCCCACTGACTTGGCTTGTCGGAAGGTCATAAATATGAGTCAGTTGCCAAGGGCCCAAATTTCGATCACGTTGTGGTGGATCGCCAGCAGCCGGTGTGGATGGCAGTGGAATCGGACAGTGAGGACGAAAGGGAGTCTGGAGAGGACTCGGACGAGGGTCAGGGAGTCTGGAGAGGACTCGGACGAGGGTCCTGCGTCCGATGCAGAGATGGGGCCAGGACCATCTGGGAGTGGGGTTCTGCCTCTGGAGCCTTCAGAATCTGGCAGCAGCGAGGAAGAGGAACAAGGGGAGCCTGTTCCCAGTGTGCGCATGGGCAGAAGTGCCAGAAGGTTGAGAGCAGCTGAAGCAGCAGGGGCGACTCGGGAATAAGGCTGGGAGGTGATTGCCCCTCCCCTAAGGGACAAAAGTCAGACCTCAATGACGAAGAGCTTTGCAGGAAGCAAAGCCGTTCAGTAATCTCCAAGTCCTTCCTGAAGCTCTGCATTCTGGTTGGTTTTTTTCCGGGTTTTTGGTTTGGTTTATGATTAGCCTTAACTGGACTTCTGTTTCTTGGCAGCATTCTGCAGCACTGAAAAGTGTGCTCTTATCTAGAGGAATGGTGTCTAATGAGTTTTGGCTGGGAATGCAAGTAATTCCCAGTGTCACATTAAAAAAGGTTTTACTTTTAAATTCAGTTTTTGTGTTTTATTAAGTTTGATGAAGTCTGGGTCAGAAGACGCATGACCACAGGGATGGTCCTAAGTGCGAAAAACAATGCAATGGTCGTAAGTGTGAAAAACAGTCATAAGTCACTTTTTTCAGTGCCGTCGTAACGTTGGAACGGTCACTCAGTGAACTATTGTAAGTCAAGGTCTACCTGTACCTAACAGGCAACTGGCGATTGAATAACCAACTCCAAAGTCAAGGACTGGGGCCTCACCTTCAGCTTGGAACTCGGGTTCAGCATGATATATTTGATGGTGCCCTGAATGTTCTCCGTCCAGGATGCCAACCAGGTGACCGTGTTGTCGCACCGGACTTCCCTCCACTTGTGACCGCACGGAGGCTGAGGGGCCTTTGAATCTCTGGGAGAGAGAAAGAAATTTTGGGGTGGGGGGGTGCGGAAATAAAGACAGTGTCATGCTTGAATCTGCAGGGGAAGACGAGGTGGAATCTGTGGGGGAAGATGAGCTGGAACCGGAGCCGACAGAGATTGAGGGGGCTTCGGAGGAAAATGGGGAAGGGCAGGGCCTTTCTGGATTAGAACAGCTTGTAGACAGGGAGGAACAGGGGCAGGATAAACATGAGAGACAGAGCTCAGGCGAGGAGCAAGGACCACCCCCTCCTGATCCAAGAGCACGGAAGGTGGAGAGAACAGTGCAGGCTCACCTGGCCACTCGGGAAAAGGATGCCCCCGCCCCCCTTCACAAGGCACACCTGGGGAATGAGACTTAAGGAGACCCTGTGGGGAAGGGCATTTGTGGGGAACAAACTTTTGAGTTCCTGAAGTTTGAACTTTCCAAGAGTCCTTGCATTCTTTCTGGCTTTCTGGACTAACTACTTGGATCCTGTGCTTTCTGAACTCCTCGATTTGCCCTGCTGGATTTACTGCTGTGCGGCCTTGGTGTACACAGTGCTGGGATGGACTATTTGAAGCAAGAGGCTGCTTGTGGCGCACGTGGGGGGTTTGTCATCACTTTGCTCTGGGACTTGCCAGAAATGTGGGAGCGTTTGGGGAAATTTGGAGCAATAAAGGGGCGGTTGGGAACTGCCAGATGGTTGTGTTATCTCTGTGTCGTGTCCTGGGAACATCACAAAGGTGTGTGTGCGGGGGGAAGTTTTATGTTTAAAAAGCAAGCAGGAGAGCAACAGGACTGTCCAAGCACGGTGAAGACTCTTTCCCATAAACATCTCTCCACTCTATGTTAGTAATTGGATTACCCAGTGGGCTTTCATGCCTAAGGCGGGACTAGAACTCACTGTCTCCTGGTGATTGGTTCAAAGTCACCTAGTCCTAGTTGGCTTTCATGCCTCAGGCAGGACTAGAACTCACTGTCTCCTGGC